ACAGAGGCTCCCTCTGTCACCCAGGCTGGAGTGCAGTGGTGGGATCTGAGCTCACTGCAACCTCCGCCTCCCAGGTTCAGGTGATTCGCCTGCCTCGGCCTCCCGAGTAGCTGAAATTGCAGGCACCTGCCACCACGCCTGTCTTAACTTTTGTGTTTTTAGTAGCGATGGGTTTCACCAAGGTCTCGAACTCCTGATCTCAGGTGATCCGCCGGCCAGGGCCTCCCAAAGTGATGGGATGACAGGCGTGAGAAAATGCGCCTGGCCTGGAGTTCCACTTTGTGACCAGAAGAGGACGCCAAGATTCCACCTAACTTTTGTTCTTCAACACCCCACGTTTCTTCTTTCCCAAGTTCCTAAGGTTTTGACTCCAGGAGTAAAATGTCCCCTCTGAGTTAGCCACAGGGACGGTGGCAGGCACGTGGGACAGGTCCTGGGTTTTTGGCTGGACCAACTAGGTCAGTGATGGCTTTGCACATTTGCTCATCTTGTTCACCCAGGTGGGGAGCCGGGGAGAAGTGTTTTGAAATTGGGTTGAGATGTCTGCGGAACAGAGAAGTTGCCGCTGGAAACAGACATTCGACATCTAAGGGATTGGCGGAAGAAGAGGAGCCAATAAAAAGAGACAGAAGAGGAGTCGGGAGAGAGGCCAGCGGGAGGAGCCCAGTTCCCGCGGGCGTCGTGGCTCACACCGGGAATCCCAGCACTCTGGGAGGCTGAGGCAGGCAGATCACGAGGTCAGGAGTTTGAGACCAGCCTGGCCAACATGGAGAAACCCCGTCTCTACTAAAAATACAAGAATTAGCCGGGCATGGTGGTGGGCACTACTTGGGAGGCTGAGGCAGGAGAATCGCTTGAACTCAAGAGGCGGAGTCTGCAGTCAGCCAAAATCGTGCCATTGCACTCCAGCCTGGGTGACAGAGCAAGACTCCATCATGAAACAAAGAAAGAGAGAGGGAGGAAGGGAGGGAGAGAGGGAGGGAGGGAGGGAGGGGAAGGAGCCCATTTCTGGAAGGCGTGGTCAGTGGCTTCAGAGCTGCTGGGCAGAGGAAGGACGTGAAAACGGAAGGTGGCCGTTATATCAGCCCATGGGAAGTCACCGGAGAGTGCTGGTCCGGCAGTGGAGAGAGGGGAATCCAGATTTTATGGGATGAATAAATGAGTCGGGGTGAGGTGAAGCAGAAAGGGGGTTACCACGTGAAGCAGGATGAAGGGGGTTCAGGACTGGGCACCTGGGCACATCCAGCCGTCTTCAAATACTGCTGCCAGCAATTCCTCTAATCCAAGCACACAGACAGGCGCCCCTGGAAGAGGTGGAGTCTGTTTCCCCTCCCCTGGAATCCGGCCGGCCTCGACGCTTGCTTTGATCAATGGCGTTGGCAGACACGGTGTTCCCAGCCCTCCAGGCTGAGTCCTTACTAGAACTCTGCCTTGTAATCCAGCGGCCACACTGGGAGGAATCCAGGCTGTCCTGTGGGCGATGCCTCAGAGGATGAGGCCACGTGGTGAGAGAGACCTCAGGCATTCCCATACTCAGCTCCCAGAGCAATGAAGTAACACGAGTGACCCTGCCTGATGCCACACGAGGCAGAAGAACTGCCTGATCAACGCACGGGCTCTTGAGAAATCATGATTGGTATTTTATTTATGTATTTATTTATTTATTTTGGGGGGACAGAGTCTCATTCTGTCACCAGGCTGCAGTCCAGTGGCACAGTCTCAGCTCACTGAAATCTCCGCCTCCTGGGTTCAAGCAACTCCTGCCTCAGCCTCCCAAGTAGCTTGGGATTACAAGTGCCCACCACACCTGGCTAATTTTTTGTTTGACAGGGTCTCACCATGTTGGCCAGGTTGGTCTGGAACTCTTGACCTCAGGTTCTCTGCCCACCTCAGCCTCCCAAAGTGCTGGGATTACAGGCCTGAGCCACTGTGCCTGGCCCAACCTAGAATTCTTTATCCAGCTGCATCCCCTTCAGGCCTCCCCCAACCCCACTGAAAACCCTCAGATACCTACCAGCTTCCTGGCTGTGGGACCTCACGGGGCTGCCCCTCGCTGACCCGGGCATCTCCCCCTCGCTGGCCCAGATGTCTCCTCCTTGCTGGCTGAGTCATCTGGGGGCCGGGCAGAGCAACACCCAGGCAAGGGCAGTTCACCCAAGGCTAACTGGGACTTCCCAGGACCTGGGTGAGGTTGACTCCCTCTCTCCCTTTCCCTGACACCCCCCCCCCCACCGCCCCCAGGCAGCTGCCCTGGCCTGGGCTGTTCCCCTTAGGGGGGAATGATGTGGCTAAAGGTGGGTGGGGGAGGGGGTGGGGGAGGTAGACCTACAGGG